ATACTCTTGTTATAGCGAATTGGCCAATCAAATCTCTTAAAATCTTCACTATAGCCTTATAGTGAAGTTGAGATCTAGGACATAGAGTTCGTTATAACAAGAGTTGACTGTATATATCAATATAATTATTTTAATAATAATATATATATAATAATATTAAAATATTTATTTATTTTATTTATTTTAATGCTAAAGATATGATTGTTTATTTTTTATATATTTATTAATATTAATAAATACCATACTGTTCTGAAAATAAGTAGTAAATGATAAATAATATAATAAAATTCACATGATAAATAAAAAAATTATCATAAAAAAAGCATATCACAGGATACTTATTTTCAGAATGGTATGATAATTAAATTCAATTTATTTTTTAAATTATAATATATATTATTAAAATCTGGAATAATGCATTATTAAAAGAAATAAAATTAAAATTTCAAGTAATATTGATTATTTTATAGATATTTTTATTGATGCAATATAAAAGTATATTACAAAAATTTGAAAAATATATTTTGATCCAAAATATATTAATTCTTAAATAATATTTATATATTCTATTATATCTAAATTTAAAGTTTAAATTTAATTTAAGAATAGGAAATTTATAGTAATCTTAATGAAATAATTAATTAGAAGAGATTTTGATTTAGAAAAATATTAGCTAATATAGCATTAATATACAGTACTGTATATTTGGCTTTCAGTTTTATCATTTATGTTAAATAAATTAATTTAATAATTCTAGCCAAAATTATAAACGCATAATTTAGCATAATTTTATTACACCTAGTTCTCACGCGTGACGTATACAAACTCCGTAACCGGATTTACAATTACGTAATGAATAGTATCACATCAAAATCGTCACCTCGTGTGATTTTTGGACTGTATTACAATTCTTTCTTGCTTCTTTTGACTTGGAAGTTATTTTTAAATGAGACCATTCATCCTCACCATCTTCAGCGGAGGCGTCTTTAACAACTTGGCTCGCTCGTTCCTTTTAATACTAATGAGTGATCACATATTTAAGACCTTACATCATAAAGGGTGGAAATTCATTACTGGTATAAGGTAAAACGAGAAAAAATTTATTTTATTTTATTTTAACGCGTTTCGATTTTTAATTCAAAACTATTCATTGTTACGCGTAAATTAGTATGGCTTATATCAAAACCTTAAATATTAAACTCAAAATTCTTCCTTTCCTCTTAATAAAAGAACTATCGAATACTTTGGATTCAAAGTACTGCTGGGTTTAATATGGAGCTCTCAATCGCAATATGTTTATACAATTTGATACCTAACATTATACTATCGCCAAAGAATATCTAATAACGAAAATTCATTCGGCGGTTGTAAAAGGAAAATTCGAAAGACACAGCATAGCATAATCATAATTATAAATCTTTAGTCATGGTGCTACGACTGCAGCGACCTCAGCAATTATGTTCCAAAGTAGCTACAAAAAATTGGGAACTTAGGATTTTCTTTTGATTCTGATGATGATTATTTGAAATATTCAAACGACAATCGAGAAAGTTTCTACTTATGAACGCGTCAAAATAAAGTATTTAGTAAAAATGAATCATTATTTCTAGGATGGATTAATATCATTGAGTAATAAGCTTGATATTAAATTCGACAAATCGAAAAACTTAATAACATTGCTAGTTAAATTAAATAGCACTGCTGTTTTGCTAAAACCCGGC